TATTTCAGATCGGAAAATTTCCGAATTTTACCAAGAATTTCCGAACGACTTTTTGTTTTTTTTTGTGACAAAAAAAAATAGTCGAAGAACTTGAAAACTTTTTAGTTCATCTGCTGTAATGAAGTCCGCTTATTTCGAAAGTCTTGAATCATCGATTTGAATGATTGAATCTGCTCAAGTCCAAGAGTAAAATACTGGTAGAATGTAATAGAATACCATAGTTGCTAGCGACAGTCTGAAGAAAAACTGACTATACTATCTATTAGTTTATTAAAATCAAATGATTTCATAGCCGAATGTTGTCAAATTCCACTACTGTATTTCATTGAATGTTTGTGACATCTTGACCGCCGAATCTGCTGTTGATATTATCAACAGGATTCCCATGGGAGTTTTAGCAACATCTCAATCACAAACAGTATGAACGAATGATTCTGAAATTTTTAAACTGTATTCGTTCTCATAGTAATGCTTGTCCAATGGTAAAATCAATTTGGAACTTTTGAGAAATTTTTTATACATTCAGCTTTCTTGAACCAAGAACCTTTCGTGAAACTTGATAACTACTAATTACTTACGCACAATAGATCCGATCCAAGTGAAAAAAATTTGAAGTAGAACATTATATCTTGAATATCTATCTAAGGTCTAGTAACCTTTATGAGTTCTTGCTCAATTTTGTTTGACTCTATGTGTCTGAACTGAAATACCAAAATGCAAAAGTGTACGTCGACGTAGTAATAATGCTGGAGGCCTCAAAAAAAAAATTAAAGAAAGACTTCGAACATTTGAGCGAAAAGGATTTGAATGTGAATAAGCCAGCGAAACTGTGTAGACTTCTGTTAAAACTTCGTCAAAATCCAATATATTAATACTCTTATGAGAGAAGATTATGAAATCCCGTTGTATGTATGTCAGAATCTGACTGTTGGATACGTTGTAATCCACAGTTTCATCGAATTTCGTGCATTGATCGAGTTTCGCATGATTTGACCTAATTCTTCTATCTGACAACAAATCTTTCTGTTTATATATGGATATCTCAAGATTAGTTCAAATGCGATATCGTTGATTCACAAAAATGCTATTATGACAATGTTTTACTGTAGATGATAACATGAAAATAAACCTGATTTTGTAAATAGAACGTCTGTTCATTTAAAATAAATGACATGTCACAACAAAAAAAATCACAAATGCATTAATAGACATAGTTTTTTTTTTGTTTGGATGCAATCGATTAGAATTATATTAGTAGTCAAGCAATATATTAACTCATGATGAAGTTTATTGCAAACATAGCATGTTCATGAAAATGAATAATTGTAAACTAAATCCATTGACTTTAGAAACATGAATAACTATTGACAATGATACAGCATACTGTTTGTTTTATTATTATATGTATGACTAAAGAATATATCACTCAGCATGATAGACATTAAATGTTACAAACTAGGTCATGATGCCCACCGCTAATTACTTTCTAGGAACGATGTTTCTATTACTCGGTTTTTGCAAGTTTCATTATGATCGAATATGCAATAAAAAACAAAATTCTTTTACAATTTTTATTAAATAACTAATAATCTTTCAGACATATAAAAAGTCATTTTGTCTTTCATTGCTTGAAAATCGCTACTCAAAGAAAACCAATAAAGAATAGAAGTTATTAATTATATTGCTATCTTATATTCAAAGTTCAAAATTGAATCGCTATCATCAACGTTAAAGTCATGATTTACTTTTATATAAAGGAGAATATTACAGCATAAATGAAACTTAAGAAGCATGACATCGAAATTTTGCATATTTTTTGATTCTATAAATGTGGAAAATTTTTGTTTTATCATAATAGTGTTTTATCATAATAGTGTTTTATCATAATAGTATTTTATCAATAGTTCTTGGTATTTCATCGGTATTTCAACTTAGTTTTGTCGCAGACTTGTATTTTAAACGTACAACCGTACTATATAGTCTCCTTGAAGATAAGTTTGATATTTAGAAAAACAACAAAAAATCAGATTACTTTCAATCTTGCTAGAAATTATTTTGAAATTTTTTTTTGCAATTTAACAATCTATTCAAGACATTTGATTTCGGCTTACTTTTTTATTTAATATTTACAATGATTTGCAATAGTTAATATTTATGTCATGCCTCATCTATCATCGAATAAAACTTTATTATTCGCTCTATTTTTAGTCTAATCTCATATCATAATTTATCTATATTAGTGTTGTCAGATAATAGACATATTTTTCGATTTGTTTTTTTTTCATTCAAACCACAATAGATGATTGTAGTACATAAAATTTCATTGGAATATCTGAAAGAAGCTTGCAAATATATCTGGATGATTTCACCTTTCATAAAATCAGTAACAAACGTATAACAAACAAAAATAACGACTAAGCAGTTCTTTCATATGACATTCTTTCGTGTATTTTTTTTTCTCATAAATTTTCTCATGCATGTATAGTTCGTAATAAAATGGGTATCTGAACTATATTAGACATTAAGATCTACAATAAGATGTTTTACGGAGTTATTTGGGTAATCTATATAACTAATCAATCTTTTGAAAGAACTATTTGTCATCGTTACTGTCGATATGATTTATGTATTCTTTTTTTATATTCTACTAATCATTGCTCAATATCTTTTCAATTCATATATGATTTATCGTCCTTGAATTTTTTTTCTATCTCAATTCGTGTTGATAATGTCTGTTAATAAGTATGTTATATGGGAATATTCTTTTTCATCAATCGTCATCAGTCTTTATCTGGTTCTTTTAATAACTCTTCCTTTTCATGAGCTAGACAAACAACTTTTTTTTCCAGTCAGTAATAATAACAGCTGGCTAACTCTTATGTATATGCAAACGATCCAAAGCAAGAAAGAAACAAATTACCACAGCTATAACTGTTGTAGCCTATTTCGCTCATCAATGCTTGTGCTATCGCATTTAGGGAGAAAAATACCACTCGTAAGCGGCAATATACTATCTTGATGGTAAAACAATTCCTATATAACCTCTCCCTTGTCCGTTCTTGCGGCAATACTAGAAAACAGAGAGACCACTCGCACTTCATTTGTTTGTGTACTAACGCGTCGCATCTAAGAAAAGACATATTCATCGAGCGAGAAAACCGACATATTCCTTTCTTTCTTTTTTTTTCTTGCTAAGAAAAATGTAGTTGTCTATGACGTATAACTTTGGGAACGGTATGAAAATAATAAATAAAGATTGTTAAAGTATAGGGATTTTTTATCGCATATTTAAGAATTGAAATTAATCATTGACCGATCGATTCATAGAAGTCATGAATGATTCAGTAAGAAGATTTGCGCAGAAAAAGACTGTGTGTGTATGAAAGAGAGAGAGAGACAGAGAGAGAGAAAATATATATGAATAATATTCGACTGTTGTGTATTGTATGTTCTCTCTTTCTCTAATGACAGTAAAATGATTAACAATCTTTTTGTATAAGCAATATTTTCTGTTGTTCTAAAGAGTCGAGAGCAGAATAGAACGGAAAGCCCTAATAATTCTTCCAGAATATTCTGGACGGTGTGCAAAAGTATCCAGACAAGGATTATCCTCTTATATTTCTATTGTATGTATGACGAGCGTCGCATTAGGAATGAATATTCTCATATACAGATATATTCATATATATATATATATATATATATATATATGTATATGTATATACATTGTCCTATTTATCTATTGATTTTAGATTCCTTTCATTCCTATCTACTTTCTCTTTGTCTGTATAAGTAAGCAAGAAGTCAATTCTAACAATGCCTCGTGACAATATTCCGAAAACACAATTGAAGAAACTTCAACAATTCTTCAACAAAACACTTGGTAAGAACAACTAGAATTTATTTCATTTAGGATAATTCATTTTGTTCTCTTTTGTCTTCTATCATCAGATACAAACAATGATGGTCTTGTTAACTGGACCGATTTCGAGGCTGCCATTGAGGTTTGTTATATTGATTAAATGATAAACTAATGTATTAGTTTCTTTGGTTTCTCACAAATAGTCAATTGTTTCGGCCGAAGATGCCGCAAAAAATGCACGATTAAAAATCTTACGTAAACGTACCGAACAACATTTTCAAAAATATTTTTGGGATTTATGTGCTATCGGTGATGCTAACAATGATGGAAATATCGATTTAGGTATAAAGATTTTTTTTTCTTTAGATTCTAATTTAAGCCTTTATTTTATTTCAAAGACGAATGGCTTGATGTCATGAATGATATTATTGGTGGTTTAAAGGAAAAAAATGAATTTCCTGAATGGTATGAAGGATTACATAAGGCTTTATTTCGTGCCAACGAATTTTTAGGTAATAATTATAAAATTCTATTATTTATCATTTTGATAATCTTGGCCTATTTGATGAATAGATGAACGAGCTGTATCAAGATCTGAATTCGCTAATATGCTCCTTTCATGGGATATTGATGAAGCCAATGCTTCAAAAGCTTATGATTTCATTACTGATCATGGCAAAAAGAAAATGGATTGTAAGTGAATTTCGATCGAAAAGAAAAACACGTCATAACATTCAATTTTATTTTTTTTTAGACAATCTCTTTTCGGAATTTATGAAGAAATTCTTTCTCAATGACACACCCAAACATCCAATAAATCTTGGCCTTGACTAAATAACACAATGGACGTTTTTGTTCTTATTTTTTTTATCCTGTCATTTTCACTTCTGCACCTAAAAAAGAACCTTTTAAATTATGATAATTATTCACCAATACTTAAATATGTTTGTCTTTAAATAAATACATGCACTTTTTTTTCTCTTTATCAATACACACATCAAGTGTCAAATATATATTTATTTATTTATTTATTTATTTATTTGAGATCAGACAAGAAAAATAGTGAGAAGATAACGGAAGAACAATACTGTATAAAAAAGAATGAATATACATTTGGATTATTTTAAAGTAATATTGACTAACGTGGACCACCATTGAGTTGTTTCGAAGATTTAGAAAGTTGTTGCTGAAGTGTTGATTCATAACGATTACGCATTTCTGAAAGACGCGTCCAATATTGTAACTCTAAACTATTGTGCATTTCTTGAACTTGTTGCGCTATATAAATAAAAAAACGAATCATTTTTGCTCGACTCTATTTTTTCTTTGATCTTCTTACTTGTTATTGTACGTAATTCATTCATTGACATACGATATGTACGACGAGTTTCTTCTAATTCTTTTTCATATTTGACTCGATTTGATTCAAGTGCTGTTTCAATTTTAACAGTAAAATCAGTTAGCAACTGTTGAAACTATACACAAAATAAAAATAAAAGAATTCATTTTCTCTAACAAGTAATGTAAATATCTATTTACTTTATCATTAAAGTTTTTGATAATCATTTGTATTTCACCTGGTGTTTGATGACTAGAAGATAAAAGATAAGATAAAATTCTCATTGAAATATTATACTTACTCTTCCATTGAAGGTCGAATAGGATGATTATTAAATAGTGGCATCTAAATAACAAGGAAAAACAAAGGTTTCCATTATAAAAATAAAATAATTTATTCTATAAAAAAACAACATTTTCAGATGTACTATGAAAATATAATGAAGCAGTTGTAGTTGATTAACAGAGAAGGTCAGAGAATTTATGTCTTAAAACCTGGTATGGAACATTAAAAAAATTTCGATTCTGGTCTCGTGTATGATATGATACTGGTATTAGATCCAGCAATTATTGAGAACTCGATGTTTCAAAATATTTTTACTTTTTTCAAACTGCTAATTTACATAAAGCATAGGAGAGAAAATCTGAGCAATTTATTGTACTTGAGAACATATTCCAGAAGTGGAAACACGATATTATTTTACTATAAGAATTCGTTTTTAATAAAAACTCATTTTACAAATGATGATGAGCTATATGACGAAGAAACCGAATACATAAAGAAAAAAATAATTTATGAAAAAGATGAATATACGTTATTGTGATGAAAAAAGCATTCATGTATGCATCGACAATTATGACGTTTGGCACCAATACTGGGTTTCATTTTAGCGTGGTCAGCAACAAGTAAATGTATACTAAACGACATTATTCGGATGTTCGAAGTAGAAAAACATCAAGTGAATCCTAAATCACTTGCTCTTTTATAAGATTCGAGATGATCTCTTCTTTTTTTTTGTTGCTGTTTAAGAAAGAAAGAAACTAAATTGTATACTATTTCATAAAAAAAGTTTGAAAACTGTACCACGACTGTGAAAATGTCTGCCAGATGTCGATTAGCTCCGGATGGAGTCCGATAGCGAAAAGTCGTACCCATGCAGCACATCCAAGTCATCTAATCGATCATGATCCAATGGCATGCTGGTCTAAGAATAAAACTCGTTGCGATTTTCTATTAGTATCAGATTCAGCCACAAGAGTACATGTCACACTAGCGACTAGTACTTCGATGGAAAGACTCAGAAGCCCAGTTGGATTGACATTTACTCAAAGACAAACACGTTTATCACCAAGACAAATTGACAATATGATTCATTCGTTCTGGGAAATTGAAAAAAAAAACCATAGAAAAATAACTTCTCCGTTCTGGTTGTCTATCAATTTATATTGATTACAAATTGAGCCCTGTATCTTTATGTTTGTTGCATAATTATTTTACTCACTTATTGGTGTTAAGTATCTTTTTTTGTTTTTCATTTTATTTCTATTGGAAAACATGTGATAACGTTTATGAACATGATTATTTCAAATGATTTTTGTATGCATACAAGGTCTATGATCTGTGACATCGTACCTCACATACAGACAAGTGTAATACCCTTCTAAAAAAAGTAAAGCCAAGGTCATCCTGTAAACCGGACATAGAATTGTCCTTTATCGTGCGTTCTGCAGGATAGGACACAGAAAAACCGTCCTGCGATGTTTTCTGTTAATCACAGTAAAAAAGAAGTAATATACCATTTTAATTCATTTATGAATATAAACGAATCAAAAGAGAATCAAACATACTATCAAATATTTAAGCGACTTTTATTTATGAAAGTTATATCCGCGCCAGAATGAAAGAAGACGTAATTGTAAGCTCAATAACTCGACAGCGGCAACAGTTAGCGAGCTGCAGTTTCCAGCAATCAAGGCATTCATAGAAAAGATGTACGAGAATAATATTTTGTTTTGATAGAATTTTTATTTTCACATTTGTTTCATATCAGTAATTCAAGGTAGGGTTCATTTGATTATTTTCTCATATCTCAATGTCGAGCAAGCAAAACGGTGCCTCTTTCTATGTCCATGTAAATAAAAATCTATTGAAGTTTTCGTAAAATTTCTGACTTTCAGTCGAAACTTCCTTAAAACGAAATATTGTTTTCATGCATTTTTTTTCTAATGTCTTCTGAAGATAGTAGGATTTAAAAAAATGTTGTCTTACATAGTATCACAAAAAAGGCACTCGAAGTTCCCTTCTTTCAGTTAGTAAAAACTTCAGACTGCTAGCGACTGCGGTTGTCAAATTATTGAGTGTATATCCACTTACGCTTAACTCTGGGAGGAAAATTAGTCAGGAAATAAACAATAGTTTTTGTCTCGAATGAATATTCAAATATAACTTACTCGTATAGGATTTCGATTTGGTATTGGTGGTGTATTTGAGGTAAGTGTTGAATGAGTCATGCCATTTGGTCTGCGTTGTATTGATGCATTAATAGGGAATGCATCAAATGATTGAGGCTGTAGTGATGTCGAAGGATTCATTCTCATTGTCGGTGAATTAGTCTTACTATTACGTTGAGCTGTCGGTGGATAAATCGCTAGTCCAGGTCGTTTATGTGTTGCCCTTTGTGGTTGTCGTGTTGAAGAAGTCATAGGTACAGCTGTAGGCCAATTATTATTTTTTTGTGGCACTGTTGATGATATTCGTGGCGCATAAGTGTTATTACTATTAGCTATCATTGCTGGTAATTGAGAGTTTGATGTTGTTGTTGCAGAAGGAATAGAAGTTTTTGTTTTATGATGTTGTGTACTTGCTGGTGGTGATATAAGAAAAGATTTTGTAGAAACTGTCGATGAACTTGGTGTAGATGAATGAACTGTTGGTATTGATTGAACTATACGACGTTTTTGATTTTCTTCATCATCCATTGGTTCAGATTTAACACTAAGTGTTTCAATTGATTTTGTTCTTTCTACTTGATGATGTTGTGTTAATAAATCATCATTTGTGACAGCCGCAACATCTTCAAAAAAATCGATACTACAACGAAAACAAGAAAAAAAATCACAACATTTAGAAAATCAAAAATAAACGAGTAAAATTCAAATAAACCTTGCAGGACTTATTGATAATGGTCGTAGAGGTGGGATTGTTGGTGTTGGAGAAAGTGATGGTTCATTTAAATGATGTTCGAAAGATGGAAGAGTTGTATTAGTAGTAATCAGTGGTTTTGGTTGAGTTGTTACTATACGATGTTGTAAACGAGATTTTCGTGATTGTTTTGTTGTTGTACGTCGTTCAGCATATTGAGGTTGTACTGGTCTAGATTCATTTGTTGATGATGTCGTCATTAGTAAAGATTGATTAGTACGAACTTCCGATATAGATTTAAGTGCATCAACAGCATCCAGTAAAGCATTTATTGATAATCTGACATCTTCGATATTTGAATCGATGGCTATTAAATTTTGATCAACATAATTACTAATTAATAGAGGATTTGATATGGTATTTTTCAAAGGAGAAGGAGATGATAATTGATTTTTAGGTGATCTACATGGCACTCTAGAAGAAAGAACTAAGTTTCATTAGAAATAAGAAAAAATCGTTGTTGTATTTCTTACTCATCATCATTTTTTGATGAAACTAATGTTTGATTAATTGGATTAAACATATCGAATACATTTTCTGATTGAGATTGTTTTTGATCTTCATCATCTTCTTTTAATGTTGATAATGGCTCTTTTATTTGAATAGTTAATTGATGACCGCTACTACTACTATTACTACTATTTGATGTTTCACTTCGACTGCTTGATAAATCTTCACTTGGTTTTCGAATTCGAAGTACAATTCGATTGGAATTAATACTATTATCATCCGTCGGTCGAGATGAAAGTCGTGCTCGTTTAACTGACTCTTGCTGTTGCTGTTGTTGTTCATAAGTATTTTCATTCTGTCGCTTTGTAGCTGTTTTTAGATTTATAGTTGATTCCGTTGTTTGTGATGGAATAGGAGAACGTGGTTGTTTTACACACTTGATAGACGAACGAAGTGCATTATTATTGGTTGTTGGTGCGACATAAGTAGGTGGAATGGAATCTAGTAAGATATATATTATATAAAATTGAAGCAAAACCCTTGTCTATGATTTATATTTATCAATATTATCAAGTTTCATATTGATTTATTTCAACAACTATCAAAGTATTCATGATAAGAAGTATTACTTTTTTATTTACTCTAACGTTTAGCTATTACTCGATTTGATTTAAATTATTTGATAGTTAGAGTGTATCAGGTTCTAACTCTTTTGACCCGATTGAAACGTCCTTTAATAATCTCAATACAACTTTCTACCAGAATTCGAGATTTGCTCGGAAAATACAAGATACCTTTTTTCCGGTTTTTTATATTTGGTGACTAACGTATCTTACACATTTCTCACATGAGAAAAACCGATCGCGCCCAACCAAATCCGAAATCACGACAACGTAGTCTACCGATAGTTCTGACCTCGTTGTTTATCATTGTTAAATCTTGATTAGCAAAAATCTATTCATTTTGAGAAATCTATTATTATCTGATTAGTTTGTCTTCTAAATATGAGAATCTACTGTTGTATAATATGAAAACTATATAGTATAACGTCGTTATAGTGAACACCCTTTGAACTTTTCAAGTGTCCACTATAAGAAAGTTAGGTCTTTTCTAAAAGCAAAGTTTTGTAAGACGAATAGAAAATTTTCTAAGTATCTGTAAAGTATTAGTGAATAAAATCATATGTTATTTCTATTTTCATGCATTTATCTTGTTGACAAATAAACAATTGTTAAAATATAGTAAAATTTACCTGTCATGGACACCCTTGGGACTCTTCGAAAGTATCCATCATACAATTATATGAAGGTGGCCACTATGGGAAGTTTTACTATCTATGATGAATATGGGATAGTTTCTTGTACGAAAGTAATTTTTCTCTGATACGAAAGTTTAGAAAGAATAAGAAACAAATTATACCATCAATAACTGAAACGAATTTGAACGGTTTCGTTTTACTAAGTGGTGTTTGTAGTGGTGCATAAGTAAAACCTCCATGAAGTGTTTTCAATTGATCAATATGAGTTTGTAATTCTGTGAGACTTTTTTCAAAATTTATATTAGGTTTTTTCTTTTCTACACCTGGATATTCTTTCGACAGAACAAAACAATTATTAATTGATACCCATGCTCTACATAAAAAAAAAAACACAAAATTAATCAATCATAATTAATCTATTTTTTCTGTTTATTTCTCACCGATCATGTTGACCAAAAAAACGAACATCAACTTCATCATTAACGATACGTAAAACCTTAGCTGGCCATGGTTGATAACCTTTCATTTTAGCCCAACATAATGTATGTGGAATACGACATGGCTCAGCAAACCAATCTGTTGATACAGGTTGTGCACTACGTAAATAACATTCGGAACAAATTTCGATTTCTGTCATTTCATGACGAGCAATTTTTAAAAGTGCACGTGCAATTGTAGTAAATTTACTTTGACCTAAAATATAAATAATCAATGAAAAAAAATTATTCTCTATCATTAACAAAGACTACTTGCTTCCATTGAAAACAACACTATTATGTGTTATCCATTTAACATCAGCAATAAATGCATCTGTACATGTATATTTTTTTAAATCAATATTTTTTTCTATTGTTTCTAAATCCGTCGGATGAATTATATAGTCAAGATATTCAGGAACTTGATTAGAATCAACAGGTTTCATAAATGGTGCAGACTTTTACAAAAAAAAAAACTTTTTCTTTTTCCTTTTTTTCTTTCTTAATATAAAACTTACTTGTGGATGAGATTTCATTCGACGAAGTGCATATTTTAACATTATATGAAATTCATCTATTCGTGGATTATTTATATTAGATGATAATTGTATAATCTTTATAGACAAAAAAAAAAAGAATATAAATTGAAAAATGACATTAGTTAAAAAAAAATACTTACTTTACATTCAGGACATGTCCAATCACCATCAGGCAATATTGTCAATCCAAGACATTTGGAATGATATACACGTGGACATGAATCACAACAAATAACATCACCTTCGTCATGACATTCAAAACAATATAAATCATTATGATCATCCTATAAAATCAATTATAAATCAATAATGAAAAAAAACACAATAAAAGTTGTTCTAACCTCATTTGTAGTCTTCTTTAATTTAACCGGTGGAATATAATCATCATCGGATTCCATTAAATTGTTCGTAATAGAAGCCATTATTTTATCTGTAAAAAGAAAATGACAATAAAAAGCGCGTTCTTATTATGATTAACAGAACATATTTGGCGCTTGATCAGGAATTTCCCGTCGGTTCAACTACTACAAGATAACAAAAAGCTTTTCAAATTTTAATATTTGATTTCTTTGTTACAAATATGACAAACATTTTGCTTTTGTCTATTTACATATTTAACACAGACGAATATAATAAACGAACAAAAAATAAATAAATACTAATCCGTTGTGAACTTTTGTTTGTTTCTCAATTAATATTTATTCTACTGGACCAGATAGAATACAAAGAGAGGGCAACAAGTAGATGGACGAATTAGATTGATGGACGAGTAATAATCGAAGAAAGAGGGCTAGGCTAGATGAGAACATCGAACGAACAAGAAAAAAAAGCGGATGAAACAAAAAAGACATATATTGTTTTGTTATGTTGCCTTGCACACACACACGTTCTCATGAAGAACGACAAAAAGTTTCACCCTCTGTACGGGCTTCAAAGTAAATAGCAAAAATACAAAAAAAAAATCTCAAGAGCATTATAAAGAAAATTTATAATGAAAAATTAACAGATATTAAATTTTCGATGAACACTTTATGACTTATTTTATGACCTAAAACCGATTGATTGATGAGAATCAAAAAAATAACAAATGTTTTATAGCATTGAATCATGATGATAAATAAATTTATCTAAGAATTTAAAAATTCAACATTGTTTATAACATATAAAACAACTCACTAAACGAAAAATGTTTTAATTAACAATAATCGATATTCTTTATCGAAGATAAGAAAAATTATACATGACATTATACAACAATATCTAAATTTAGTTTCTTCTATTGACATAAATGAAGAGAGCGAAAGAATCATACATGCTTTTGCTCTATAAATAGAACAGAGTTACAGTCTTTTCGCATAAGTAGCAAACATTCTAATAAATATTGGTCGTCTTCAACTATAAAATTATGCTTGATTTACTAGGTTTTATACTTATCCAAAAACATTAAAAAAAAATTTAAGTTACCAGGCTTTTTAACTAATTACAAACGAATTTCTCCAATCGATAGATCATTCTCGAGTCGAGATTATGTGCATTATGTAGACTCACATTCATCTTTGAATATCTTGAAAAGTGTTAGTGCCCACAGAATGTTGTTGCGTAGATATTGCATTTTGAAGGTATTTCTTTAAATGAATACTATCCTTCAAGAATACTAATTTTCGAAATTCGACTTGAAAAATTGCCTATAGACAGACCTCAATGACAATAGGTTTTTTTTGTGAATGTTCAAAATCTTGTCGTTTTTCCTATTCTAAGATACAACAATGATCATAGCATTTTTCTTACATCACTCATATAAACCGGCAGACTTGATCTTCGTGTTTGAGAATAGAAGAAATCGAAAGGTCTGAAACTATTCTCGTTAGGGACTCTTTCTATGCAAAGTTTCAAATTAAAAAAAAAAAAGTTTTTCTAAACTACATCATTCGCTTTAAAAACAATACCTAAATGTGTAGCATCTTAATAGTAATAAACTAAGAGTACGAACTCTTTTCAGAGTATTCATAGCTGATTTGATTCTATATAGTACATGAAGTCTCGACTCAAGCGAAATTTATCAGCTGAAGAAGTTCTGTCGTTAGACTAAATCGCAACTCGATAGTTAGCTATAAAGATATTTCAGCTTTATTACTTTTATATCCTAGTGGCATTGATGGTAATTTCCGTAGATCTGTGCTTTATGAAACAAGGAAATGGACAATAATTCTTACCAGAAGATTGAACTAGCTTCGTTATCATTCGAAATTGCCTGCTGAAAACGGAAGCCGACCAACAAAAACGTTCAGTCTTATCGTTGTTATATCAACTAATTCAATAAGAGTGATCTTCCAAATAGCGTGAATAAGATAAAAAATTAATAATAGATTCCTATATTTCCTGTACGAAATTGTCTACTTTCAACGTTCGATCTTCCCAAATAAATAATTATGTCTCAGGAAAAAATGTTTAAACAAAAAAGACCTCTAGCTTAGAAATTTTTTTCTCCCAAGAAATACTATTTAGAACTTGATATTAGATATAAAAGTACTAACGATTTTCCATGATAAGAAAAACAATTTAAAATTTCTACTTAGAATATTCTAAAATTTGTTTAATACGTCAAATATCAACATTTTTATTGCCATCTGTTTTACAAATAGTCGTTGTGCGTTGATGATTTTTTCACCGTTATGTCTTTCATTATTCATTTATTATTACTTTCAACTATTTTTTATTGATCTATTCGTAATCCAATCATAATTATAGTCGCTTTATTAAATAAATATATTTAATCGAATTTTTTTTTTCGAGTAATTCATTGTCTTTTTTTTTTAAATTTTATTGTTAATAAAATATCTCTTTATTTCTATCGAGAATATTTCATCTAATGAGATATCAAGCGTGACAAGTGACCTCAAGAGATGATGAGAGAATTTCATAATGGCATCTCTAATCTTTTTTTTTTTTTGCTTATTATTTTTAGCAATACAAAATAAGTACATATAACTAAAAGTAATTCAATTTAAAGATTTCAATTATCTTTAAATACCTTTTATTTTTATTATTAATTTATCTAAAATTATCATTATGTCGACATTCAGCAGAGGTCGACACTAGTATTTGTCAAATGTTGTTGTTGTTGTTATTATCTTAGGATAGAAAAAAAATAAACAAACAAATGATGATCAATTTTAGAACAGTACATATAAGACCACGATTTTTCTAAGATATCTTTTCGTGGTATTGAACACTTTCAAATATCAATTCGACAATAATCGTCGAAATGTTCCAGGTTTGAAACAAAATTAGAAAAAAAAACTCTTGATTAAAGTTCTTTTTTTGTTTATGATATCTAGAATAGTACATCTATTGAATCAGAAATTTATTCGAAACAATTTGATGATGATCGGTAAGAACTAATAAAATGATTAAGTTCAATAGAAACAAATTTTATTTCTTAGATTTACTGATGAATCGTCGTCACAAGATTTCTTCAATTCATCAAATAGAAAATTATCTGATGATCAATCAGATTTTGTACCGATTACTTGTAAGATATTCGTTTTTTATTTCTTTTGAGTTAATTAATAATGACAAAAGATATATTAATTTTCTACAGTTGATTCTGAAATCAATTGCAATAGTTGTTTGACAGATGTTAATGACTTATTTTGTGATAAACATACATTTTTGCCATGCATTGAACCAGAAGTATGATTAAATATTAAACATTAAATTGATCGGTTTTCTTTTCATTTTTTTAGACACCTATTTTCAGCAAACCAGTGATAACATCAACTCGAGGTGGACGCATGAACAGTAAATATGGAAAAGGAAAACCAGCACAGGCTTATATTAATTCAGATATAACAATTCGAAAACGTGTTCGACGAGTATGAAGAAAATAAAAGAAAAAATTCCAAATAAAAAAAAACGAAACAAAAATTTTCTATAGACAGTTCGTCGTCGTCATCGATTAACTTCGGATTCTCCTACACCACCACAATCGATTAGTCCACAATTATATGCATCAAATTCAGATAATATACAACCTATGCAATATCATAGAACTTTATCAAGTTCACGTGGTAGACCAATTAAAGTACGCAAAGATGATTATAATACAACTACAACAGTTAATGTAAGTTTGATTGATAATAATGAAGAACAGTTTTCGAACATATTCAATTGTAATGTAATTATCGTATAAAGCGAACTTTTGATGGACGATTTGCATTAATCGTATAGTCCGTATCTATATGGACATAAAACGATCTGAGTTAGCCAATTTTTGGTTTGGACGATCTTTTATATTGACGAATAAATAATCGCAAGTGTTCCATTGCATTTTTATCGAGACTGTACTCAACTAATAGTGTCAAAGTCTAAGACAGTTTGGTTTTCTGAACTTTTGTTCTTGATATATCGAGTATAAACCTGTGATTTTTTGATTGTTCATTGATTCTAATTAGTGAGTGGCAATTAGAGATATCAATATATGATGAATGGTTGTAATTTCTTGTTGATTAGAAAGTTTTCATCGTTGATATCTGAAAGTAGATAAATCGAAAATTGATGCGTTAAAAACAAAGGTTCAGACAACCGAACCATCTTAGAATTTTTTCACTATCAGCTAAATAGAATGCTGATCAAAAAGTAATCGGACAGTTCAGTATCAGTTAGTTTTTTTCGAGTGGTTCTAAACAAAAGAATGAGTTCACTTTTCGACAAATAATACGTAATATTCATGTTAATTCTTTAACGTTTTTCTTTCGAGAGACAGTTGAACAATGCATAAGATGGCAGATATTTTGAAGTTTCATAAACATCGTTTTTGATTTTCAAAGAGTTAATGTTTTGAAACATTAGGAGCATCTGACATGCATTTGACTGTGATATTTCGAAAGATAAACGATAAAGAGTTCACATGAACACTGTATGTTTGTGGTAAAGAGGTTCGTTACCAAAATGTAACTAATATTCTATTTATATCAATAGTTTTTTTTAGAACAATTCCGGAAAAAAATTCACAAGAGAAGTTTCGTAATTGATCAACCACTTTTGAGTTAACTCTAATGAAAATAAGTTTTTTGTGAATATTTCAAATTTTGTTCTTGTTACAGTTATGATAAAAGCATGTCTTTTACATCGCTCATATTTAATAGCAGATTTAATGCTCTTATTTCATAACAGAAGCAGATCAACAGACCTACAATCAACATCGTTAATATCTGTCCCTAAACAAGGTTTGCAGTCGAAGTTCTAAAATCAAAATGTTTGAAACACGACATTCATTTGACAACTATCGTAAATTTGTCGCACCTCTGTAGCAATAAGCCAAAGGCTCAAAATCTTTTCAGGATATTCAAAACTCATCTGAATGTAGATAGTCTTGACATTATATTATATATCTGATTTCACTATGAATCAACATTTAGTA